TAGAGTGTATCTAATTCCTGTTTTGGCTGTAGTGTATCTAATTCCTGTTGTGGCTGTAGTGTATCTTATTCCTGTTTTGACTGTAATGTATCTAATTCCTGTTTTGGCTAGAGTGTATCTAATTCCTGTTATGGCTGTAGTGTATCTTATTCCTGTTTTGACTGTAATGTATCTAATTCCTGTTTTGGCTAGAGTGTATCTAATTCCTGTTTTTGGCTGTAGAGTATCTAATTCTTGTTTTCACTATAGTGTATCTAATTCCTGTTTTGACTGTAATGTATCTAATTCCTGTTTGGACTTTAGTGTATCTAATTCCTGTTTTTGGCTGTAGAGTATCTAATTCTTGTTTTAACTAATTCGCACCTGTGGTTTTTCAGATGTGAATGTAAAACTTCTACACCTTAAATAAATCTATCACCAGAGTTGATATCTGCGTTTGACTGAAACCAAACACTGTTTAACTAATATAGCAAGATGTACAGTACATGACATAAATAAATACGTCTTATATGTCTCCCTATAGTTATATACAGTAAATACTCATTTTCATAATCATAATCAGTCAGACTGTTTTTCTACTACAAACAGTAAAGGTGTAACATGTTATAGCAGACTATTGATGTCTGCATCACTGGTACTCAAAATACATAGGCGTAAACGAGTTAATGGTGTTTTTTTTTATTCAAGATATTCCATATAAACATTTGAATCCCAGTTACTAAGTATACTAAACACTTAATTAATATTATATCAACACAAAGAATTGAAGTACCTCTACCTCTATAATACACTTGTTAACGAAGATACATGGTAGATAGAATTTTGCTCCGTTAGCCTCAGAACATTGTCAAACATGAGAAGGGAAACAAAAATAATATAAATTGCTTATTGCTTGTTTGTCTTTTTTTTTTTTTTTTTTTTTCCTTTCTGTTTTGGTGGGGGGGGGTAATTTTCTTTTGATAATAACGACATTTCTTTCATTTTAAGAAAACAGATGACATATTTGGTTTTATATTTCTACTGCAGATGACATAATGCATTGGGCCAATCTAATATCCACTAGGTGAATAAAACAAGCAAGCATTCCCCTTAATAAGTTTTATCACACATACGAAATATCGGAATCATGTTACACTAGGACAGGACATTTCAAATTGGTTGTTGCTCTTATTTTAATACAATTTTTATTTATTTATCAATATTCATATCTATATCATCTTATTACAGTTATGGGTTTATCACAAACTTTTTGGGATCCATTGTTCCAGTTTGTCACGTTTTCGTACTCCTTACTCGATCCTTGCCGAAAGCACCACTTCGAACTGATTTGTTTCTAACCAACACGTTTCATTTGATTCGAAAAAACGGCACATGTTCCTAGATAGTGGAAGAAGGCATGTAAATTCAATGTATTATCAATAACTTGAAACTCGTTTTGATAAGAAGCGATGAATTTTGTAGGGAAACTCGATTTTGTTACACACAATACATGGTGCTTTGAAGATGTAAAATTACAACAAGTGGTTCTGTGATGCCACTAATCATAGGAACAGGTGGTTGCAGTATCTGTCGATATTTCGCAGATTTTGTGTAACATATGTATATGCCAATAATTCGTTTACCTTTCATGGACTAAATATAGTTCTTGTCGAATTTTAGCGTTCTCAGATTGCTCATATTTGGGAAAAAATTTTGAAAAATTATAAAAATGTCATGATGTTGGCTCATAATAACTGTTCGCCACCCTTTTTGATAAAAAAAGACGAAAATATCAACACGTCAACATAATCATAATCCGAAATCAAATTCAATAAAATTTGGGCAAAAACATTGCTATCTAGGTAATCTAGGTAAGAATGACTAGACTTGTCATCATATTTTCTAAAATGACTACGGATGACAGCCATTTGTATGGCGATCGCGTATTCATATCCAACCTCTTAATTATTTATTTTCATGTCCAAATATAATTGTAATCTGTTGGAATGATGGTCGAGACCACTGTGTTGTTTAAGTTATTCATTAAAGATCAGGAGCAGATATAAGCAGTTTTATTTTAATATCGAATAATCATGTCACAAGTCAGATGGTTGATGACAAATCGGGGAGTTGTCTCCACGTGACAATAGAAAGCCCACTATGTCTCTGTAGACCCTCTGATATTTGTGTTGGTTATGTAGACGTTCACATATCTGACATAAGTTTGATTGTAACGCTGCACTAACTGTTTCAACAGTGTAATATTTCTTCCAGTGAAAATATTTTTTGTACTCTCGGAAATTGCGACTCAACTTTTTAATGTGATTTGCTAGTGATTCGACATTTTTAAAGTCTTTTGTATCCAGATAAGATTTCGGAGGATGAAATAAGCTATGATTGGACGCATCTCTGATGATAGGAACAATGTTATGACGTAACACAAGATGAAGTGACTTTTCAGTGACATAGTCATCACATAAACCATTTTCAAACGATAAATAGAATTTGTATCGACTATCCAACACATCGAAACAGTCCCTTTCCATTTTTAAGTTTGACGTAACATTCCAAATTGCCTTGAACTCGTCTTTGCGATTGAATCCGGATCGACATTGCAGGGTTCCACACTTTCCGTATATGTCGATGTCGATCCCGAGTTGCTGGAGCTTGTGAATATAATGTAACCTGTGCGAATGAGTAGGACAATGACTGATGAAGGCTACGGCAGTTTTTGTCTTGGCTCTAAGTACTGAATTTGTTACACTTTCGTGGTAGTGGAGAGGTACTTTTGAAAATTGTCCGTGCAAAAATGTGAAATCTGAGTCTCGTCTATATGTCATTGTCCAATTGAACAAATGATGATGACAATATCTACCTACATTAATATGTTTTTGAAACTCTGGCGGTGCCTCGTGTTCAAACATTATCCATATCTGGCCAGGTGTTTCCTTCCTCTGACAGACTTTTAAGTCCCTGGCTCTGAATAAAACAACATCCGCTTTATCCCTATGTATTCGGTGTTTAGTTAGGATACAGTTCGAAACTGAACACTGATTGAACACGTGTGATGTGTTCCATTTCTTTCCGACCCAGTCGTCGAACCAGTGTTGTGGTGACCAAAAAAGCAACATTTTATGATGTGTTTTCCATTCCACACTTTTCTCTCTTTGATACAAGGACACATTCCTGAAATCTAACAGGTTTTTGTTTCTATGTGTTGTTAGATTTTGATAAATCGGATATATGTTTACGACAGATTTATGGTAGACCTTCACGTTGAGTTTAAATATCTTGTGTATGATATATGTAAATACCATCAAGTTTAATATCAGTAATAATAACTTCCATCTGCTGAGGGTGGTCATGATATCTGAAATAATATGAAATTGCGTATTTAAGACTGAGGAATAGAGTGACATTCAGGAAAAATAAATGTAGATGTTGGTATATATATATTTTTTTTAAACTACAAGAAGATACCAACATTTTAACATAATCATAAATCATGCTCCACTGATTTCTAAAGTTGTGTCATTGAGGCCTAATACCCCGTGGTATAATGAAGAACTCCGTGGTGATAAACAGAAACGGCGCACAGCTGAGAGGTTATGGAGGAGAACACGACTTGCAATCCACAATCAGTTATACAAAGACCAGTGTCGAAAAGTGAGCAAACTTCTTATTCAAACCAAACGTGAATATTACTCCAGTAAAATTGAACATTGTCGCAATAATCATAAACAACTGCACAAACTTGCCAAAGGCTTAATGGTTTAGAAACATGATACTGTTCTTCCAAGTTGCGGGTCTCAAGAAGACTTATCAGAACAGTTTAGTTCATTCTTCATAAACAAAATTGTCACATTAAGAAATGAACTGGCTTTGATGAATGCTTCGGTGGATGTTAATACTGTTTCTATGTCATCAGACAGTGAATTTCAAGGTGAACATTTGACAAAGTTTGACCCGGTATCTATTGACGATCTTTATTATCAGTGCGCCTTCCAAATCCTGTGAACTTGACCCTATTCCTACATACCTTTTGAAACAGTGTGTGGAACACCTGCTCCCGCTGATTTCTGCTATCATTAACAAGTCTCTGGTTGAGCAAAAGGTATCGATTTGTTTTAAAACAGCCATCATTCGGCCATTGCTTAAAAAAACATGGTTTGGACAAGGAGGTGATGAAAAACTACCGGCCGGTATCAAACCTGCCATTCCTGTCTAAAATTCTGGAGAAGGTAGTGGCAAAGCGTCTAGAAGCACATCTCGATGTAAACCATCTTAACGCCAGCCATCAGTCAGCTTACCGTCCATTCAATTCAACAGAGACTGCTCTTTTGAGGGTACACCATCACATAGCAAATGCGTTGGACTGCAATTGTTCAGCTGTTCTTGTACTGTTGGACCTATCCTCCGCGTTTGATGTTATTGATCACGGTATACTGTTTAAGCGGTTGGAACATACATACGGTGTGTCCAATGATGCACTCTCCTGGATACAGTCTTACTTAACTGACAGGAGGCAAAGTGTGGCTATAGGCAGTACTACTTCCTAGGATAGAACACTGTCTTTTGGTGTACCCCAAGGATCAGTACTTGGGCCAAGAAAGTACTGTCTTTACTCCAAACCGATCGGAGATATTTGTCGCCGTCACAACCTGTCCTATCATTGCTATGCGGACGATACCCAATTGTATATGGTTATAAGACCAACTGACAATTTGGTTGACCTATCTGCACGGATGGAAGCATGTCTATCAGACATTAGTTCATGGACAGTTACGAATATGTTAAAACTGAATCAAGACAAAACGGAGGTCATTGTGTTCACTCCAAAACACAAAATAAAAAAACATTCCAGCATTCCAGGTTCAAGTTGGCAACAACTCTATCAGGGCTGTCCCATTTGTAAAGAACCTTGGAGTTTTCATGGATAGCTCTCTGAGTATGGAAAAACAAGTGACTTCTGTAACAAAGTCATGCCACTTTCAGATAAGCTGCTCATGACTGTGTTTAAGGCTCTCCGTGGGAACTCACAGAGTATCTCAAGGAACTTGTACGTCCCTATGAACCAACTCGGACACTGAGGTCACAGTCTGGTGCATTGCTTATTTCCCCCAAAGCAAGGGCTGCCACATATGCTTTGATACAGCAGCAGCACACTTGTGGAATAATCTTCCATTTTCCATGAGGAACATAGAATCTCTGTCTGCTTTTAAATCCGCACTGAAAACACATCTTTTTCAAACAACCTTTAAATTGTGATAGGATTTCTATTGATAGACAGTGTATGACATAGTTTTAATGTTTTAGGTTTTATTGATGGACATTTTACATTGATGGATAATGAACGATATACTTTTATGCTTAATTTTTTATGTTATTTTATATAAAACGCTTTAGTGTAATCCTAACGAATTAGATATGGCGCTATATCAATTAAGTATATTATTATTATTATTATAATGATTCAATAAAAGTAGAGCAAAACGTAAACCTTGGTCAATCCAAGTAAGTAAGATCACGTTCTCTAATGATGACAAAGTATACATCAACGGAACCAACAGGTAAAATAACCAGCATCAAACACGCCCAGCTTCATATCGCACAAAGCAATAGAATATCTCTCAATAAGATCACTCTGATGACTATAAAATTTCCCCATAATTTTCATCAGCTTGCATCTCTTGAAACCCTTTGTTATGAGTTTTTCCGTCTATTGACGTCTTCTTGCATGAACATCGAGTTAATGGGATCAGGCTATTGAATATAGAATGATCTGTGACATACAGAAAATCCACAATAGGAAAATTAAAATCATTAGGTTTATCATACAGCTTGGTGCAAAGCTGTCCATTTTGGTCTCGTGGTAGGAAAAAAATCGAGATAAGCAGCTGATGTAAAATAATCTGCCATGTCTTTTCCAATACTTGTGGGTATATACGATGGACGTGGTCAATAAATATTTTGTTATTTAGAGACAAGACGTCATCAATATATCTGAAAGCGAAAATAAACGACTTGGCAAGATCTTTGTGACCTGAGAACGTGAGTCCGACTTTCCTCTAGTCCAAACACAAGCCGTTGGGAGCAAACTAAACTTTGCATACAGTGCACATTGTAGTGACAATCTTTCTCTACACTTCATAAATACACGTGAATGGAGTACGTGTTTCACAATGGCTCTCTGGTCACAATGAATAAACCTTACAATTGAAGAGGAAATTAAACATACTTACGTGATTGATTAATAGTTTCCTGTCCTTCGCCTTATAATATACAAAACCAGATAGATCACTTCACGAATACGTCTCTTTATAACTGTCATACCATTGACTACGTGGCGAGTTAAAATCCATGTACTCATTACACGAGACTTCTGACAATAAGGGACTGCTGTAAAGGACAAAAGTAAGGCTTGTCAGCAAAACAATTTAAGGTGGATATGTTGGTATTGAAATGTGGAAATTGAACGTGTGACATTGAAAATTAGATAAGAATGGGAGTATAAGGCCTTAGATTGTATAATAGATCGACAGGTAAATAACGAAAAACAAATTTAGAGTTAGATATTAACCAGGATATAATTAACAAAACCTTAATTATATGAAGGGTGTAACAAAGAAGTACACTCGATCTGTAGATAAAGCCGTGGTTGTAAACAAATCTATGTCCCTTATTATCTTATCAAGTATTTCACAAACGTTTTCTAATTCTCATCAATAAATATTACTGTAAAGCGTGTTTGACAATCGTTCTTAACTTTTCATAAATATATGTAACTATAAAACGTGTTTGACAATCGTTCTACCTATTTTGGCTTTAGTGTATATAATTCCTATTGTGATGATAGTGTATCTTATTTCTGTTGTGACTGTAGTGTATCTAATTGTTGTCTTGGCTTTAGTGTATCTAATTCCTGTATTGGCTGTGGTATATCTAATTCCTGTATTGGCTGTAGTGTATCTAATTCCTGTTTTGACTGTAGTGTATCTAGTTCCTGTTTTGGCTATAGTGTATCTAATTCCTGTATTGGCTGTGGTATATCTAATTCCTGTATTGGCTGTAGTGTATCTAATTCCTGTTGTGGCTATAATATATCTAATTCCTGTTGTGGCTATAGTGTATTTAATTCCTGTTATGGCTATAGTGTATCTAGTTCCTGTTGTGGCTATAGTGTATCTAATTCCTGTTGTGGCTATAATGTATCTAATTCGTGTTGTGGCTATAGTGTATCTTATTCCTGTTGTGGCTGTAATGTATTTGATTCCCATTGTAGCTATAGTGTATCTAATTCCCATTGTAGCTATAGTGTATCTAATTCCTGTTTTAGCTATAGTGTATCTAATTCCTGTTTTAGCTATAGTGTATTTTATTCCTGTTTTTCGCTGTAGTGTTTCTAATTCCTGTTTTTGCTATAGTGTATCTTATTCCTGTTGTGGTTGTAGTGTATCTAATTCCTGTTTGTCTGTAGTGTATTTAATTCCTGTTTTGGCTGTAGAGTATCTAATTCTTGTTTTCACTATAGAGTATCTAATTTCTGTTTTCACTATAGTGTATCTAATTCCTGTTTTGACTGTAATGTATCTAATTCCTGTTTGGACTTTAGTGTATCTAATTCCTGTTTTTGGCTGTAGAGTATCTAATTCTTGTTTTAACTAATTCGCACCTGTGGTTTTTCAGATGTGAATGTAAAACTTCTACACCCCTAAATAAATCTATCACCAGAGTTGATATCTGCGTTTGACTGAAACCAAACACTGTTTAACTAATATAGCAAGATGTACAGTACATGACATAAATAAATACGTCTTATATGTCTCCCTATAGTTATATACAGTAAATACTCATTTTCATAATCATAATCAGTCAAGACTGTTTTTCTACTACAAACAGTAAAGGTGTAACATGTTCTAGCAGACTATTGATGTCTGCATCACTGGTACTCAAAATACATAGGCGTAAACGAGTTAATGGTGTTTTTTTTTTTCATTCAAGATATTCCATATAAACATTTAAATCCCTGTTTCGAAGTATACTAAACACTTGAGTAATAGTACATAAACACAAAGAATTGAAGTACCTCTACCTCTACAATACACTTGTTAACGAAGATACATGGTAGATAGAATTTTGCTCCGTTAGCCTCAGAACATTAGCTAATATAAGCTATCATTTTGACAAACATAAGAAGGGAAACAAAAACAATATAAATTGCTGATTGTTTGTTTCTGTCTTTGGTTTTTTTTTTTTTTTTTTTTTTTTTTTTTTAGGTGGGGGGTTGGGGGGTGGCGGGGGTTATTTTTTCTTTTGATAATAACGGCATTTCTTTCACTTTAAGAAAACAGATGACATATTTGGTTTTATATTTCTACTGCAGATGACATAATGCATTGGGCCAATCTAATATCCACTAGGTGAATAAAACAAGCAAGCATTCCCCTTAATAAGTGTCACCACACATACGAAATATCGGAATCATGTTACACTAAAACAGGACATTTCAAATTCTATTATTAGATAGATCTGATTTGAAAGGACTGCGTAGCCGGCTAGGCCGATTCCAGTTTTCTTAGCAACTCAAACCAAAACCCAATCCACCTAAAGTACGGCGATATAAACCACAGAAAAGTGATTGATGTGAATGCTGGATATACTGTACACATGTTATATGAAATAAAGAGTTTAAACATCAATTAAACAGAATAAAATGTAGAGTTATCTGGAGCACAATAGGGAAATTAAAATCTTTAGGTTTATCATACAGCTTGGTGCAAAGCTGTCCATTTTGGTCTCGTGGTAGGAAAAAAATCGAGATAAGCAGCTGATGTAAAATAATCTGCCATGTCTTTTCCAATACTTGTGGGTATATACGATGGACGTGGTCAATAAATATTTTGTTATTTAGAGACAAGACGTCATCAATATATCTGAAAGCGAAAATAAACGACTTGGCAAGATCTTTGTGACCTGAGAACGTGAGTCCGACTTTCCTCTAGTCCAAACACAAGCCGTTGGGAGCAAACTAAACTTTGCATACAGTGCTCATTGTAGTGACAATCTTTCTCTACACTTCATAAATACAAGTGAATGGAGTACGTGTGTCACAATGGCTCTCTGGTCACAATGAATAAACCTTACAATTGCGTACTGTTGTGGAAATTAACTAAATTTTGGTACATAATCTAATAAAACCTTCAATATTTTAATCCACCAGAAAGAAGAGGAAAATAAACATACTTACGTGATTGATTAATAGTTTCCTGTCCTTCGCCTTATAATATACAAAACCAGATAGATCACTTCACGAATACGTCTACCTTATAACTGACATACCAATGACTACGTGGCGGGTCAGAACCAATCTATTCATTACACGAGACTTCTGACAATAAGGGACTGCTGTAAAGGACAAAAGTATGGCTTGTCAGCAAAACAATTTAAGGTGGATATGTTGGTATTGAAATGTGGAAATTGAACGTGTGACATTGAAAATTAGATAAGAATGGAAGTATAAGGCCTTAGATTGTATAAAAGATCGACAGGTAAATAACGAAAAAACAAATTTAGAGTTAGATATTAACTAGGATATAATTAACAAAACCTTAATTATATGAAGGGTGTAACAAAGAAGTACACTCGATCTGTAGATAAAGCCGTGGTTGTAAACAAATCTATGTCCCTTATTATCTTATCAAGTATTTCACAAACGTTTTCTAATTCTCATCAATAAATATTACTGTAAAGCGTGTTTGACAATCGTTCTTAACTTTTCATAAATATATGTAACTATAAAACGTGTTTGACAATCGTTCTACCTATTTTGGCTTTAGTGTATATAATTCCTATTGTGATGATAGTGTATCTTATTTCTGTTGTGACTGTAGTGTATCTAATTGTTGTCTTGGCTTTAGTGTATCTAATTCTTGTCTTGACTGTGGTATATCTAATTCCTGTATTGGCTGTGGTATATCTAATTCCTGAGTGTATCTAATTCCTGTTTTGACTGTAGTGTATCTAGTTCCTGTTTCGGCTGTAGTGTATCTAATTCTTGTTGTGTCAATAGTATATCTAATTCCTGTTTTGGCTGTAGCGTATCTAATTCCTGTTGTGGCTGTACTGTATCTAATTCCTGTTTGTCTGTAGTGTTTCTAATTCCTGTTTTGACTGTAATGTATCTAATTCCTGTTG